GCAGGCACTGCAGAGGTATCCCTGGCCATAAGGGGGTGTTTGGGTGGCGGCCATGCTGTCACACTGGGTTACAAAGTGGCACTGATAGGGCCAGGTCATCTGCTGGTGTAAATGAGTATTGCTTCATTAAAGGGAATGCAGCTGCCTGTATTTACACCGGGTGAGGATCGAGCCAAGAGCATGGACTGGCCCTTAATTCCCTTAGAGCAGGGGGCTCAAATGGGTGATGATGTGTGTGAGTCGTGGGACTAGTCTACCCAGGGAAATGTACTGTGTGGACAGGCTTATTCTGGAGTAAACATGTTCACACTACATGTTATGCTGATCAGTTTCCACAAGCCCTCAGGGAGTCTGATTGGTTTAACATACACACAAACAGGGGCTGGGGAAAGTGACGCTTCCCTACGCTAATTTCCTGGAGTCCAAGGCCACTGGGATGGTCTGGTCTGGCCTCCAGCACAGCGCAGGCCGCAGAAGTCCCCTGCGATCTCTGGTACAAAGGGCGTTGTAGAGCCAAATCAGCCTTTGGACTGCACCCGGCACAGTGCCTAGATCCGGTGGTGACTGGCCCCCTAGAAATGCCTACAGCAGATGGCTGGAGGGCGGTGTTGTGGGTCACTGGTGAAATAGACCATATGGGACAGGTTTTCCAATGAGCTCGGCATGTTGGGGGCTGAGCTCTTCTGCAAATTTACTTCCACGTGTGCCCAGCCCCCAAGTAAGCAGGTAGCTGTTCCCACCAGCGGGAGCGTGTCCGATAGAACTTGGTGGAGTGAGTCAGTCTGGGGATGGCAGGGATATAGGTTAATCTGTTTGTAATAAATCAGCTCTTGCTTTGCTTAATTCTCCACCCAGCTTGGCGTTCAGGGCACAATGCAGTCAGCTCCTCTTCAGGGCAGCACATAAGGACTCCAGGGGCTAACAGTGATGGAGTTTAGGGCCAGTGGTGCTCTTTTTAGGTGAATTACGGCACAGAGTGATTGACAGCTGTTTTGCAAACCTGCCTGTCTGAAGAAAACCAGGAGGAGCGATCTGTGCTCGGTGGGGGCTGCCTGCTCTGGGATCATGGCCCCAAGGGCAAACCACAATTCAGATCACTAGGAGTTTTACTGGCTCCCTGAAGCAGAGCAGGCGCTGGGAGTCGGAAAGGATATCCCCTCTTTTTGTTCTGCGCCTGTTCCCCCAGCCTGGCTAAGGCCAAGTGTCCTATTTGTGCGCTTCTTGTTAGACCCCTGAGCAAGAGGCCTGATCTTCCCCATCTTTAAAAAAGGGAAGGAGGAAGATCCGGGGAACTACACGCCAGTCAGCCTCACCTCAGTCCCTGGAAAAATCATGAAGCAGGTCCTCAAGGAATCAATTCTGAAGCACTTAGAGGAGAGGAAGGTGATCGGGAACAGTCAGCATGGATTCACCAAGGGCAAATCATGCCTGACTAACCTAATTGCCTTCTATGAGGAGATAACTGGCTCTGTGGATAAGGGGAAAGCAGTGGACGTGTTATTCCTTAACTTTAGCAAAGCTTCTGATACAGTCTCCCACAGTATTCTTGCCGGCAAGTTAAAGAAGTATGGGCTGGATGAATGAACTATAAGGTGGATAGAAAGCTGGCTAGATCATCGGGCTCAACGGGTAGTGATCAATGGCTCCATGTCTAGTTGGCAGCCGGTATCAAGCGGAGTGCCCCAAGGGTCAGTCCTGGGGCCTGTTTTGTTCAATATCTTCATTAATGATCTGGAGGATGGCGTGGACTGCACCCTCAGCAAGTTTGCAGATGACACTAAACTGGGAGGAGTGGTAGATATGCTGGAGGGTAGGGATAGGATACAGAGGGACCTAGACAAATTAGAGGATTGGGCCAAAAGAATGATTAGGGGGCTGGAGCACATGACTTATGAGGAGAGGCTGAGGGAACTGGGATTGTTTAGTCTGCAGAAGAGAAGAATGAGGGGGGATTTGATAGCTGCTTTCAACTACCTGAAAGGGGGTTCCAACGAGGATGGATCTAGACTGTTCTCAATGGTACCAGATGACAGAACAAGGAGCAATGGTCTCAAGTTGCAGTGGGGGAGGTTTAAGTTGGATATTAGGAAAAACTTTTTCACTAGAAGGGTGGTGAAGCACTGGAATGGGTTACCTAGGGAGGTGGTGGAATCTCCATCCTCAGAGGTTTTTAAGGTCAGGCTTGACGAAGCCCTGGCTGGGATGATTTAGTTGGGGATTAGTCCTGCTTTGAGCAGGGGGTGGGATTAGATGACCTCCTGAGGTCCCTTCCAACCCTGATATTCTATGATTCTATGATTTCTGTCTATGTAGATATTTGCTCTGTCGTTGTAGGATCCGAGCAGCTCACCATCAATGGCTTAACCCTCGCATGTCCCAGGAGGTAGGGGAGTTATGCTCTAGGGATTATTGTGGGGCAGTTCTCTGGCCTGCGCTATACAGGGGTCAGACTGATGATCACACTGGTCCCTTCAGGCTTTGCAATCTATGAAGCTGGTTTCACAGCCATGGAACTGCTGCACAGGGTAGTGAAGTGATTTGCTTCGATTGGAGCCCAGGTCTCTGGGGGCCCGTCAGACCTGTGTCTGAGCTGAGCTGTGCTACACCCAACCTCTGCTGGACCTTGTGTCAGGTACAGCAGGAGTGTCCTGCCGCTGGGGCCAGGTGGCCCTGAATCAGAGATCACAGTCAGCCTTGTGCAGCTGCCTCTCTCTGCTACGTCTGAGCTTGGGGGGAATCAGAGGCCAGTGTGCCGCTGCTGGAGTTGTATCCGCCTGCACCAGGTCTCATTCGGGATGTGCAGGCAACTTGGGACATGCAGCACACGAGATCCCCAGAACGGTCGCAAATCCTGTCTCCCGGCAGCCCTTGCAGGGTGATACCAGCCTCTCTCTTCGTTCTGATAAGCCCGGCTGAGCGGTTCTCTGTTGCTCGCAGTTACCCAGCTGGCAGTGCCCACCCAGGTGTGCTTGAATACAATATTTTCTGCTGGGTAGAGTCCGTTACGCAGCCTGCGTCCTGAGACACTTCGTAGAGTTCAATGATAAATACGGGAAAGAGGAGAGACCCTCGGGGGCAGAGACAAGGGAGAAGAGCTGTGTGTTCAGATGAGATTTAGACAGACATGGCCAGTGCAGGAACTCTGCGGGGTGCAATGCTGCAGTGGAGAATGCTCTTGCACCCCGTCAGAAGGGGGCAGGGAGGAGGCCGGCACTAGCTGATCAGAGCGAGCCTGGGTCCTGGCAGGAGACGCAGGGAGCTTGGAAGCTGAACAGAGCACTAGACCCTGGTCACATTCACCTGTCCTGGCTGACTGTTTACAGCTGATTTCACAGAGAGCGAGAGAGTGCTTTGCACTTAGCGCTCTTCAGATCCGTTGTTGCTTTGAACCCCAAATCGGGTCGTGACCTCAATTTCCTGTAATCTGACTAAAGTGCTGGGGGTGAGCGATATGGACTCCGGGTGGCTTCTTAATGGAAATTGAATTCTTGCAATCGTTTCATCTGCCCGTTTTTCTCTGGCATATGAAAGGAATTCCTCTCGGCCACTCGAGGGCTCAGACGGTGACATGTTCTGTGTGGCTGGGCCTCATCCCCTGCTTTCAGCTGCAAGGGACCATGGGGGACAGGTGAGAATCTCCCTGAAACGTGGCTCAAGTGAGGGGATGGAGAGGAATCATGTAGAAATGGATAATCAGGGAAATGGCTATTGCGTTCTGGCCACTGTACTGGGGTCCTTGCCCCCCCCCCAGCATTGTGAAAAGGGGAACCTCAAAAACAGCAGTGGGACCCAGCTCCAGGCAACAGACCCGGATCCCAACTTTCCCGGAGGTCTGTGGGGTGTGGATGACAAAGGGGGTTTTGTTCAGACCCATCCTCAAGATGGGGGCCAGCTGCAAGTTGTGAATCTGGAGTTGGACGTCTCCAAAGTTTTAGGTGGGTTTGGATCTGGGAGAGGGTTGGTGCATGTGATGCCATGTTTGCTTGCAATGTATTACCCAACCTCTAGGTGTCTCTGTGCTGTGTAGTGTCCAGAAAGGGTATGGTCCATGGTGAATGAGCACAACAAAGCTGGAGCTCAAGCTGTGTGGAAGATAGTTTGTGTCTGTAGTTGTAGCTAGGACACCAGTTTATGAAAGACTGTGATGCCATAGCATAGATCATGTCTCTGGCCTATCTCTGCTCCAAAAGTTTGGTGGGAAGCACCTAGAAGAATGGATCTTAAATGTTTCTGAATGAAGTAACCCTCTTTTTTAGTGCTTCCTGCTGATGTTTCCTGCTTCTGTCTAAGCCAGAAGCATCCCAGGTGCAGCCCCTCTTGCCGTTGATTGGGATGGGCTTTTAGACCAGGGCCAGTGGTCTATCCTTGTGGGGATGGGGTAGGCAGGCTGATGAGAGATGCTGTTACTGCCATGAGATCAGATCCAGAGGGCAGCACTGGGGCTCCTGGCAAGTTGGCTGCAGGGTCCCGCGTGTCGGAGGACACCCCTGTGCTAATGAGAGAAGCAGGGCCCCTGAGCCAGCTCCCCTCGGCTGGGCCAGCTCAGGGTCCCCAAAGAGTGGTGCCCTTTCTGTGATCATGCTCTCTCCGGGCTGTAGCCAGCAGACACCACAGCCTCTCCATTTCCTGGATTCTGCAGTCAGTTCCCCGAGGTTCAAGCAGAGCTCCGAAAATACAGTCCTGGGGTAAAGGATCCAGGGTAAATGGCTGGGTGTGACAGGGACCCCATCCCCCAGGGTGCGCTGGAGAGGGGGAGCCAAGTACGCAGATCTTTAAGGGATCCTGAGGCCAAGGAAAAGATCCTGTTGCCAAAGGGCAGGCTCACGGGCCTCCTCATTAGTCCAAACCCCAGCAGTTCCTCTGCCCCACCTAGTCTGGGCACCACACTGCCAGAGGGGTCCCTCTTGCACTCCGTCTAGGAGCATCCCCAGGGCCTCTCTAACCCCCGTTCACCCCCAAGCCCAGCCTTAATTTGCTCTGCTTTTCTCTTCCCTCCCCAGCCTGCGGACCCTCTGACGATGAATGGGACGGCCAACGTGAACGTGACTGGCCGGAGCCATTATGCGTCTGCTATCCCGGTGCCCCGCGCTATGTCCCAGAGCAAGCTGCCCCCGAGGCAGAGCAGCCTGGGGGCCCCCCCTTCCCAGCGGGCGGCGTCACCACGGCCGGGGAAGGCGCCAGGCTGCGTTAGCAGCCCGGCGGCCAAAGGCTCCAAGCCGAAGAGCCTTTCCAAAGGCCCCATGGAGGCCGGGCCTGGGCCGGAGACAGCAGAGCCATCGGAGTGCAAAAGGGCCGACGGGGTGGAGTCTGGCCTCAGCCAGAGCACTAGGACTCCAGGCAGCAGCCCCCGGGGGGGCCCGAAGACAACGCCTCGAGCGACGGGGGCTCCTAAGAAGGCTCTGGTTCAAGGGACAGAGAGAGAGAAGGAAAGTCCGAAGCCCGGAGAGGCCTATAGCAGCCATGGCGCCAAGAAGGGCTCGGGGAAGCCGAGTGGCACTGCCGAGTTGGCCAAGACCCCTCAGCTGCAGGGGAAGAGCCCGTCCCGCTTCAGCCTGTGCAGTGAGTCTGGGCTGCCCGGCACCCCTGAAGGATCCAGTGCCAAGAGGCCCCAGAGCTGCCCAGTGAAAGGCCAGTGGGTGTCGGAAGCCCTCTGGAAAGGCAGCGGGGTGCCCAAGGCAGCCAGGGGTGAGGACAAGTCCCCGGGGATCTTGCTGGGCACCAGCAGCCCCATGCAGAATAAGGAGCCGGCCATCAGCTTCTCCTCAGTCCCACAGCAAAGTCACCCGGTCACTGCCACCGTGGCACCCTTCCACTACCGGTGAGTTCCCAGCCCGGCAGTGTGCAGGGCACGGGGCTCCTCTGCGGGCAGGGGCATCTCATCTTCCCCTCCCCCAACTCTTCCCACCCCACACAAACCATGGGACCATCTGCCCATGCCCCTCATTGGCACTGGGAGCATTTGCGGGGGTGGGGTGGGCTCACACCATAGGGTTTGGGGGGTGGCTTTCAGAGATCAGACATGAGGAATGTGGGGCTCAGTCCATGCACTGGGTGGGGGCTGGGCACGCTCAGCGAGCGGGTGTGGGGGCAGACAAACAGGGTCGGGGGTTGGGCACATGCAGTGGGGGCTAGGGTTGCCAACTGTCTAATCGCACAAACCCAAACAGCCTTGTTCTGCCCAGCCTCGCCCCTTTCCTGAGGCCATGCTTCTGCCCTGCCCCTTGTCTGAGGCCCCGCCCCCTCTCACTCCATCCCCCCTCCCTCTGCCACTCGCTATCCCCCACCCTCACTCACTTTCACCAGGTTGGGGCAAGGGGTTGGGGTGCGGGAGGGGGTGAGGGGTGCGGGCTCTGGGAGGGAGTTTGGATGGGGGGGGCTCAGGGCTGGGGCAGGGGGTTGGGGTGTGGGTGGGGGTGAGGGGTGCAGGCTCTGGGAGGGAGTTTGGGGGAGGGGGGCTCAGGGCTGGGGCAGGGGGCTTGGATGTAGGAGGGGATTTGGGGTGCGGACTCCGGCCGGGTGGTGCTTACCTCAGGCGGCTCCTGAAAGCGACCCACATGTCCGGCTCCTAGGCTCAGGGGCGGCCAGGCAGCTCTGCACGCTGCCCCTGCCTGCAGGCACCGCACCACCCCCGCGACTCCCATTGGCTGCAGTTCCTGGCCAATGGGCGCTGCAGAGTCGGTGCCCAGGGCAGGGGTGGCCCGCAGAGGTCCCCTGGCCACCCCTGTGCCTAGGAGCTAGAGAGACATGCCGGTCGCTTCCGGGAGCCGTGCAGAGCCAGGGCAGGCAGGGAGCCTGCCTTAGCACCACTGCGCTGCCTACCGGACTTTTAGGGGCCTAAAATCTCCCAGATTGGCTTCTGTAGCCACTGGGAGATCAAGGCCCATTCTGGGAGACTCCCGGCCAATCCAGGATGATTGTCAACCCTAGGGGGGCCCATATTCTTGGGGGCAGGAGCGGCGCCAGGGTTTTTGGCGCCCTAGGTGGGGGTCCTTCCGCGCTCCTGGTCGTCGTCAGCAATTCTGCGGCGGGTGGGGTCCTTCCACGCTCCCGGTCTTCAGGGCACTTCGGTGGTGGGTCCCAGAGCGAGTGAAGGACCCGCCGCAGAATTGCCGCCGAAGACCCGGAGCGCGGAAGGACCCCCCCCCCCTGCCGAATTGCCGCCAAGGGCGGCAAAATGCCGCCCCCCCAAATCCTGGCGCCCTAGGCGACCACCTAGGTCGCCTAAATGGAAGCACCAGCCCTGCTTGGGGGGGTTGGAGGTGGGGAGGGGGTTGGATGCACACAGTGAGTGGGCGGGGTGGGGGTTGGGCACAAACAGTCGTGGTGGGGTTGGGCTGGCCACAGACAATGGGGGGCACTGGGGGGCTACTCCTGCTGTTCACCCCTGTCATTCTCATGCCTTGCCTGCCACAATCGTGCCTCAAGTCGTGGTGGTTCTGAGAGCAGGGGGAGCAAGTCCCTGTGGGGTCATGGGGCTCTGTCTTCACCCTCCAAGGCCTGGCGCTGGCGTGCGGGATGGGGGAAAGGCCCCGAGTCCCAACACACAGCCAGCTCGCCAGCCAACAGCCTTGCACTCTGCTTGCCGAGAAGGTTGGGCTGCAGTAGCCAGCTGGGCCTTGGGAGCTGTAGGCTGTGCAGTCTGCCCTGCTGGAAGGGAGAGAGCTATGCTCCCAGAAGCATCCTCCCCCCCCCCCGGCCGTGGTGTTGATCCCAGCTGCGCTCGCAGGAGCAGAACACCGAACTCTATCCCATAACAGCTGCACACAAGGGACGGTCCCACAGGCTCCCGGGGGAGCCGGGGTCCAGCTGGGCAGCATCAGAGTAGCTCAGATGAGCCTTTGCGGCTGGGTCTGTCCTGTGCGGTTAAACAGCTGGATCCTTCCCAGCCTTCCCAGTGCCCCACGTCATTTCAGCTCCCCATTCTATACTCCCTGCCCCCCTTTGCCGGTGCAGCCAGACCTAGCCCCTAAGCACCCCATGCTGATGTTTCAAGCCTTTGTGGATGCAGAGAAAAGGTTGATAATGTGGCCTGCCTGTGACCCTGGCAGCAATGCCAGAGTCTGCAGGGAGCCTGAACCAATGTCTCAAAGGGGTGTGAACTGCAGCAGGCATCTCCAAATGGTGTGAACTCCCAGGGCTCCACCAGCTTCCACGCAAGCTGGGGGCTCTGTGTGGGGAAAGCAAGAGTGCAGCATTGGGAGGGGAGAGACCTCTCTGCCACTGCCAAGCCAAGCTGGGGGGCGTGGCCACAGGGGGGGGGTGCCAGGGACAGCTGTCTGGGGACACAATGATCCCCTGTGGAACAGAGAATTCCCCTGAAAAAAGCCTGCCCGGGCTGAGTGGCTGAAAAGACACTGGGGTAGGAAGTGTGGAGCAAACCCCTGATCCCTGTGTTATCCACCCATCCAACTGGGTGTAAATCAGGAGTAACTCCACAGGGTTTGATTCCCCTCTCACTCACTCTGGTGTAAATCAGGAGGAACCCCCTGTGGAGCCAGTGCCAGTTACACTGGTCTCAGTAAGAGAAGCACCAAACCCAAGCCCTGATCTCTTTAGACCCATAAGCATCACATCACTGACCTCACGGAAGGAACGAGGATCCGACACATGTTTAAACACCCCCAAGCCTTAGTGAGTCCCATGCCCATTTCCAAATCCAGAGGCCACGAGGGGGACCAGATGGGTTCCCTGCTGGAATCAGATGCTGGGCCCTACCTCCCAACCAGGAGAGGCAGCCTGGCCACCAGCAGTGCCCTCCGCTGGCTCCCTGCCCTCACCCTTTCTGTCATGGTCCCCTCCAGCTGTGGGGCCCGGATCTTCTGGCTTCCCCTGTTGCTGCTACTGGCGTGGGGCCGGCTGAGTCTGCTGCCCGGCAGCGCAATGAGCTTTCAGTCCCCAAATAGCTGGGGAACGAACCCCTACCCCAGGGTACTATCCTGCATCTCCAGGGGGCTGCTTTTCATGCATGCATGACAGTAGCCCTCTTGGCCAACACCTGACATGAGGGATTGAACCGGGGATCTCCAGAGCTCAAAGCAGCAGCTTGAGTTAAACAGTCCAGACACCTGGCTTGAGGGCTGTAACAGACTCACATCCCCCGTGGAGCGGCACAGAGTGGGACCCGTAACACATTCACCGGGGGTCACATATGCTAACTCCTTTCTCCGTCTCCAGGCTGCAGGGAGACAGGGAGAAGAGTGAATTCTCCCAGGAGGAGCGCGCGTGTGAGGAACTGACCAGCCCTGCAGACGGGCCTGAACTGGGCTTCCCAGGCTTGGGTGAGTCAAGCTAGGATTCACCCCTCTAGGGATTGGGGTGGGGGGCAGCACGTGGGACCTGAGCAAACAGCTCTGTCACCGGGTGAGGGGCCTGGGAAGGAAGGAGCCAGCAGGCGTATTTTAGGGTAACTGACTGACTAACTCGGCCGAATCTGGCCCTCGGCAAGGCCTGGTGGAACACTGAGGTTGCTGCACTTGGTGGCCAGGGGCAGCGGGATGCGGCTGATTGGCTCTTGCGGCGTAATGAGAGAGAAAAATTGAGACGCCGGGTAATTAGCTCAAAATAAGGCTGGCCGTGAGTGCGTCATTACCTACTAAACCCTGCGGCTATGTGCCGGGCCTGTTGGGGCATTTAATGAGCGCTGGCAGCAGGCCGTGCTGGGGAGTGCTCGTCGTTGGCTGGGGATGCTATGACAGAGCGGATGTGCTCACACCGGTTGTGCGGAGTGTTTTTTTTCTGAACCCGGGTCCAGATGTCAGTGGTTTTTACAGGCGCCTGGATTCTAGGTCTGCCATGGGGGAGAGGGTGCAGGGAGCCCTGCTGGGCCTTTGTGACCTGGATGGGTTGCAGCCTGATCCTCCACCAGTGCAGAATGGATGTAAAACGCTGCTATGAACAATGCCCAAGGTGCTAGGGAAGGGAAAGTCAGGCCCCGAATGCAAGGGGCAGGGAGCGTTAGCACCAGTAGGCACTCTGCAGGGACATATCCGTGTTCCTTGCCTCTTCAGCACCTGCTAGTGGCTGGGGGAAGACATGCAAGCTAGGTCTGACCCTGCTCCCATAGCTGTCAATGACAAAACTTGCGCTGGACTCAGTGGGAGTTTGACTGTCACCTCGGAGCCATGCTGCCTGCTTCTAATACTGGGGAAAGGCTCCTGCTGCCTGTTTCTGTCTAATACCGGGGAAAGGCTCCTGCAATTGCTGCTTGTCCTGTGGTCCTCTGCACTTCCCATAGCGGCGCTGGGGCTCTGGAAGGCACACAACGACAACGCGGCTGTATATCTCTTGCCTGTCAGTTTGACATCGTTTTGGCACATAGATGGGTCTTGTGGAGGGAGAAGGAGCAGATGCTGCTCTCACCTACACCAGGGGACTCTTTTTTTATTTTAACAGAGTGATGCTGGATTTACTGTGGTGTAAAGCAGGACAGGAATCCGGCCCTGCAATTCCAGTGAGTCACATCAGTTCCACTCATGGTCAGGGAACTGATCAGCCCCTCCGGAGCTAGCAACCGCCTCTGCCTTTTGCTCACATCCATTTCACTCCCGCCCTGAATTATCACCACACGGCCTGAGGTGGCTGCCAGACCGTCTGTCTGTGGGGAGGAGGTCTGCCCAGCCACCCCATGCCAAGTGGTGTATTTACCATGCCCTTTGATCGGGGGGGCAGGAAAGCTGGTTTGCACTGATTGAAATCTGCCCCGGACTTGGACCCAACCCAGCCTGAACAGGAGAGTTTGGTTCATTTTTTCAGTAATGGTGTGGGGCTCTAGCCTTCTGGGTTTCAGCCAGTGACAGCCATGAAACGACCGCTCGCTCACCAGCCCGTTTGAGCCGGCAATGCTGGATTTCTCATGGGTAAACCTGAACTCGGCAGATGTGTGGCCTGATCTCAAGACCAAAGGGGTTCGGGCACATTCAGAAAAGAATCAGAACCATGGGGTGCTGCCCTGACCTGAACCATTTGGGGCAGAAAGGCCCAATCCTGCTGGCGTGGAGTGTTTGAACATTGGGGTGGAGCGGCCTTATCTCCCAGATGGAGAGAATAGGAATTGAGGAGATGCTGCCCCCGGCACAGGTTTGGGCCCTGAATATAAGCACACTTTTATCTCTGGTGCCCATCCCCTGGGAGAATCTAATCAGAAATCAGAGCCATGCTTCTGAGCTGGGCTCCCACACTGGTCTGAACTCTGAAGTCATGTGATGTAGGGGACTGAACTCAGGGCTGGAAACTGCAGGACTTCTAATCCCAGCTCTGTCACTGACCGTTGTGTGACCTTGGACAAATCATGGCTCCTCTCTATGCCTCTGTTTACCCTTTTGCAGAATATGGGGCTATGGCAGGCATTAGCAGGTGGCGCTATTACACATATCCTCCAAGTAATTTTTCTGCATGTGCAAGTAAGTTTTTAGTGTTGGAAGAAATACTAGTGTTATTACTTTTAGGTTGGTCAAGGTTCTGCATACAGGGAGCTATGTGAGTGGCAGGAAACTTTGCTCTCTGTCCTGGGCTCTGATTGGAGTCAATGCATGAGGCTCTTTGGGAAGTGGTCATTAATGCTGGGCTGAGATTCCTGGAAGAAGGGATTGCTCTCCATGCTATTTGACCCCCTCTGTTCCAGGACTGGTGTTTGTGTGAATAAAGCAAGTCACACTTTGGAGATACTCAGACTTTGTATCACTGATTTCTCCTCCTCTGGGAAGCTGACCTGTGGGGCCCCAGAACACTGCCACTGCTCAGCCGAGGAGTGACACTGGGGTGAAAGCGGGATAGTGATGTCAGAAAGAGGCCCCGCTATTATTTTTTATTTCTAATCTATTATTTCTAATAATTTCTATTATTTATTATTTCTAAGGACCCCAATTGAGGCACCATGGGCTGAGCACTGTACAGACAAATAGTACACAGGCAGTTGCTGCCCCAGGGAGCTCACAATACAGGATTTAGTCAGTACCGAGAGAAGGAACAAATAAGACCAACCTTGCAGGGGTATGTGAAGGGTAATGTGAAGCCCGCAGTGATCTGAGACCCTGTCTCCTCCCAGCACTGCAGCTGCAGTACAAGCAGAAGAGGCCCTCAAACTAGAATCCCTCTTGATTTAAACAGAAAGGGGAAGCTGGCAGGCTGTTTGTGAGAGCCCTTTAACTCTGCCCCTCGTGTCCTCTTTTGCCAGACATGCTGGAAGGTACTTCATTTTCCTGAGGCATGTGAGGAAGTGGTGGCTAGGCATGGAGCTTTGGAGGAGTGCATTGGTGGGCAGCCATAAGCAGCCAGTGCAGGGAGAGGCAGATTATTACGGAGCAGATATTCAATAGACTCTACTCCCAGTCGGGCACTGAAAGAAGTGGCCAGATTTTTCAGAGGGGCTGTGAGCCCTGGGTGCCCAGCTCTGGTGAAAATCTAGCTAATCAGGTGTAAATCAGGAGTAACTCCACAGGGTTTGAGTCTGGCTTTTAGGTAGGTGCCTAAAAGGGTGCTGAGGGAGTCTAAAACTCAGGGCCCGGTTGTAGGAGGTGAGCTCTTTGCACTCTGACTCTGCACACACAATGGACAAGGGTGCTGACATTTATAATGCCTGTCTGAAACTTGTAAATGTGCCCAGAGCTGTAGCACTAGAAAATAAACCTCAACCAATCCATCCAGCAATGTGAGGTGTTATATACCGAACGTGTTAAATAGTCGTGATATTTCTACCAAAGATCCGCTGGGAATAGCCAGCCAGCCCTCAGCATACTTTGTCTATCCTCCTCTGTAGTTTGCAGTGTTGCTGTAGCTATGTTGGGCCCAGGATATTAGAGAGACTAGGTGGGTGAGGTCATACGTTTTACTGGACCAACTTCTGTCGGTGAAAGAGACACTTTCGAGTCACACTGAGTTCTCTGTGAAAGCTCGTCTCTTTCACCAAGGGAAGTTGGTCCAATAAAATGTATTACCTCACTCCCTTATCTCTCTATTTTCTGATCTTCTAGTCTACACATCTGTCGGTCTGTCCTGCTACCTGTTAGTATTGTCTCTGCCTGTCTGTCCTCCTAGATCTTAGTATACTGGTCTGCCTGGCTCTCTGGCAGGGTTACCTGACTGAAGTGGCCTCTGCATAGAAATGTACAGGGCGGAGGCATCGATCTGTGACCTTGTTTGCATTCATGATAGGAACCGGGCTCCATTAAACCATCTGTTCTGGGAAACTCCTTGTATCTCTCTAGGAGCCTGGTAAGGAAAGTGGCTCTTTGGCTAAAGGGACTGCAAATGGGGCCTTCGGACAGAATCCGCCTACTCTGGGTTTGTGCCCAAACTCACCCTGGCTCTGTTAACAAGGTACCTCCCACTAGCCTGGCTCCAGCCTCTCTCCCCAGGTGTGGCTGATTTCCTGGAGATGCTACCTGGGGATGTCCCAGCCCCCGGAATGCAGAGGAGCAGGGGGTTAACGTGTCAGCAGCCCTGGGTGTGCTTGGTTCCAAGAGGCTCCTGCAAGGTGCTGAATGCCCTCCACACTCACAGAAGCCAATGGAGAGGAGGGTACTGTGCAGCTGCCAGGATCGGGCCCTTACGCGGAGCTCGGCTGCTGGTTACCAGCACGATGGGCTGGACAATGTCCAGTCAGTCTCATAACCCTGCTTCCGGCTCCAATGCAACAGGGGACAATGGGATCGGCTGAACTTTACCCCTCTTGGAAAGACTGTCTGGGGTGTTTCAGAGGAGAACTCTGCAGCTCCAGGCAAAGCCGGGAAGGTGCTGCTCCTTGGCAGGCAGAGAGCAGGGCTCTGCTCCTGACTCCCCAACTGATTCAACGTGTGACCTTGAGCAAACCACTTCCCCTCTTCCTGCCTTAGTTTTCCCAGCTGTCACATGGGAGCCTGTGATACTGATCCCTCTGTAAATCTCTGTGAGGTCCTTGGGCTCAGCATGGGCTGGGAGCAGGGAGAAGAGTGGGTGAGGGACAGGCTGGCTGTTTCAGTTCTGGAACCCAAAAGGGAGGATTTGGAGAGGAGCCGGGTCGGAGATAGCACTAGGCAGTGGGGGGTTCTGCCAAGTGGGCTCTAGCACTGCACTGATCTGCTTCAATAGCCCAGAATTCTGAGTGCTTAATACCAAGAGGAAAAGCTGCTGTAGGGTGTGTTGGGTCTGCTCAAGCTAGCTGTGTTGGTCTGGGCATCTCATTCATATGGACGACTGGAGAATACGCAAGGCCACATTTTATGGCCAGCGAAAGCAAGGCAACCATTCTCATGGTGGCCTGTATATACAATATAAAGACATGCTGAAGTCAAACTTGAAAGCC